ATTTACGACTATAAAAATGGTAGAAAATACGGGTACGATGAGACAAGAAGTGAGTGTTCGGGGACTTCGTCGTAGGAAGCTGTGTTCGTTGATGCTTGTAAAAGTAGTATGTTCGAATACCTTAGTGCCACGTCCGTCACTTGCCGCGCCCGTCTCCGTGACTGAGTGTCCAAGTACCTGAAATACACGCTCGTCAATTGAAGTTGACGCTCCAGATAAAAAGGGTTGGGAGTATATGCCCCTCTCTCTTTTAAAAGAGGACACTTTGAGACGTGTCAGCTGTATGTATTATTGTTTAGAACGACAATCATTTAATACCAACATACTGCTAAAATTTACACCATTTGTTGACGTTGACCTTTCAGCATTTTGGTCCACACCTGTTTTATGACTCAACACTGCCTCGAAATAACCTTTCAACAACACCATTGAAACTTTCGAGCCAGCTACTTTCAACGTTTTCAGTGGGCAATTATGGTCTATTAACACCATAGCTTGTCTCGTAATTCCTGCGGAAAATTTACCAACCATGTAGCTGTCACAGAGTGGGAACTCTCTCTGCCAATCACTTGGCCCGTGTATAAGTTCATTTACATGCGAAGTGATAAAACAAAGATCTAAACCAGAGACACTACTTTGGTTCTACCTATACGTTCATTAGAAAAATACATAGCATATTTTTACTGCCAGTACAAAGGAACCGGCAACATACAAATGAACCATATATAATACTGAATGTGATGGTGACCAGCACGTGACATTAACGATAAAATGACAAACACACAAATATATGTATGTATGCATTCTTATCAGTACACTGGGGCTGGTACATCGCACCTAATTCAATTTCCATATTATTTCAATTTCAAGGATGAAAACGGTCAAGGTTTGGAAGATAAAGAGATCAGAGATGAAGTAGATACATTCATGTTTGAAGGACACGACACGACCGCTTCCGGAATATCATGGATATTTTACAATTTGGCAAGTCATCCCGAACACCAGGAGAAATGTCGCCGAGAAATAGATGATATATTGGACAAGAAGGACACTGACGAGATAGAATGGTAATGTTTCTCGTTGTTGTTGATATTGGTATTTTTATTTGAATGACATCTGCACCTTAATTTGTATATTATCTACGTTATCGCTATACACACAATAGATAACGAATTAAACGTACAGTTGGTTAATTATTTAAAACACATCAACTCTAGATATAGCTCGTGTCAAATTCATTAGCTTATTCCATGACGACGCTGGAATGTAAACAAATCGCAATATATCAGCTGATTATTATCAAATGTCATGTTCGTTGCAAAATAATTTTGTGATTTCACAGTAACAGCTAATTTCAAATAAATCCACCAGAATAAACTGGCGAATTGGCGCAAATTATTGTAAAATGTCAAATTTTTAGATATAAATATATATTAAATCCATGGTGACATTCTCTCGAAATAATTCCGGTTATTTAGGGCACTATTAACAAGACTTATTATATAATGCAATAGATTCACATTCACAGGGACGATCTTCGCCGCATTCCATACACAACAATGTGCATCAAAGAAAGTTTACGTATACGACCACCAGTGCCAGGGTTTTCTCGGCAACTCACTTCACCTTTGAACTTTGATGGCAGAATTGCTCCTGCAGGTAAATTTTGAATTATTCACTATTCAGATTCATTCTACCCACTGACCAAGTTGGTGAACAGAAGTTAACACGCATTTTAGATCAAATGTAATTATTTTCAGACAGCATAGTACAATAGTTGCTATAACGACATATAGAGTAAAGGAAAGGTATTTTCTGTACAGTGAAGATATCGTATACTAGCAGTAATGCAGAGACCTGGGTTCGGAATTGAGGCGCCAGTGATAGGTATAAATTAAAGTCCTCGCTTCATCCCGACCTGAAATATAACAAGGTTGTAGGCTATAACAGACTTAAAGCCACCGTCCAGACCATCTATGGAAATTCATTCTGGGGAGAAATTCTCATACATTGAAGACATTTAGTAAGTCGTAACAATAATTGTGCGTAATATGTGTAATGGGGTAAAACACAATGAGAAAAATACAATACACGTATGCGCGAGCGTTCCAAGTTCCGTATTCATTGTTTTAATAAAATTTGAATAAATAATTCGTGGCAGGTGGACCATATACGCCAAATCTGCATAGTGATCAACTTGTGATTATTCTTAATCTAACCCAAATACCATATAGCCCCCAAAAAACAATGGCCGACATACACCGTGTTCTACCTAGCTCAATGGGTATATCAACTCTTAGTTCGAACCCAGACGTCTTAGTTTCTACAGTGAAACATAGTCAGTGTGTCATCGTTTATGTCACGTGACCGCAAAAATACTATGATAGTGTGTGAGAATAAAGGCCTGCAATAGAGTTCTTATATGTCGTGAAGCACTAGCTTTAAAGTTTTAAAGGTAACAGGGTCATGCACTGATTGTTGAATCACTCATGGATACAGTTTCTATTTCCTAAAGGTTCGTTTGTGTCAGGGAGTGCCTTCCTTGTGCATCATAATGCAGATGTATGGCCAAATCCTACAAAGTATGATCCGCTACGATTCCTACCAGAGAACACACGAGACAGATCACCACATGCCTTTATTCCATTTTCAGCAGGACCGAGGTAAACCTTCAGATGACATTCATTATCAAATGAGCAAATATGTTGAGAAGTAGAATAGAATAGAATAGAATAGAATAGAATAGAATAGAATAGAATAGAATAGAATAGAATGAAATGGAATGGAATAGGATAGAATCTCCGCCGTAATGCATGTACACTTTTTATGAAAAAACACATTTATCATAATTTCTCGTTGACAAAAAAAATTATTTGAGTCGCACTTAACGAATCAGGCAATAATCCTATTTGGTAATAACTGAAAAATAAACGAACTGACAGACGAACAATGAAAACAAGCGCCAGCAAAATTACCCTCCTTGGCGGTGGAGATTACAGCACAGCACAGTACAATAAAGTTCAACACACGGTACAGTACAGTACGCCCTCTCACCGCAGTTTGTGTTTTCTCTTTATTTTCAGGAACTGTATTGGGCAAAATTTTGCCATGAATGAAATGAAAGTGGCGACATGTATAGTTCTTCGACATTTTCAATTAACCGTCGATAAACAACGACCACCACGCCGGGTTAATAACCTGGTATCAAGATCCGAATCTGGCATTCATCTCAACATCAAGAAACGAAACTAAAAAAAATATTCAGTCTGTTACAAAGAAAGAATGTTAGTTACAATCGTATCAACACATTTCAAACGACGCCTTTGTTTTACCATATACAACATAGGCATGTCCTATCCATGACGACTGATGACACACAAGAACAGTAACATCAAGAGGCAGTTTCAACACTGCAATTTTTAAAAGGTTATGATATTGTATGTAAAATCAAATACAAGCATGAAGAATTTATTTTGAAAAAAATGTGAGTTACATTCTTGAGTGACACGTAGCTGGATGTGTAGCATGTGTACTTTGAAAAGTACTGCGAAAATAAAACGGTAAATGAAACGACTCTCTTATTGTTAATATATGGACAGTTAACTGAATAACATAATTTTTGAGCATGAAAGTGAAACAAATTAATTACATCTGTGAAGTGTATACTAGTTGTATAGTTAATCGCCAGAGTAAGGCAGAGGGACGTTTACAAGATGCTATCCATAATGGTGGCTGTTAACAACGTATACCACGACGTGAACAATGTGAAAAAGAACACACTACATTGGTGTCAGTGAAAAGCAACATTTGCATTAACACAAACGACTATTTGTAGTGCATATCACGTGACGACGAATGTATGCTTCAATCGTTTACATGTACCGTATATAACCAACCTTATACCAAATCTTTCATTTAGTAGAGGTTATATGTACTGACACAGAAGTCATGGTTCGGACCCATCTTGACCAACTTTGTTAATAGTTGAGAAAAAACTCCAGAATTCCAAACCTTGGCACCTGGCCAAGCTCAAAGTCCAGAAATGCCTGGCACTAACAAGTATGCGAGTTACCATTCTACATGTTCCGGGGAGGGGGGGGTATTTCCACCTTAAGTGGGAAGGAGTGTGCAGCCCACCTCTCGTAAACCATACTCACTTCTAAACCATTTTTTTCCTATTTATATACCCACTTCCAAACAAAGTTGTTAAAGGTGTCAGGAATTACATCATCCATGAAGATACAAGACATTTGAAAAAATAAATAAATGCTACACGCTTCTAAACAAAAACATTGATAACTGAATACCCACTTCTGCACAAGGAAATGCAGTGAGCGTCCGAGAGACCATGTGGCTGTCAATCCATCAAATGCTTTCCTCGTGTGTCCGATGTATTAACAAGTGGTCAGGGATTGTCCACCACAGAGCCTCCCAGAACCCATCCAATTGACTGATGAAATGACTAAGGAATCTACCAATGGGATCATATCCAGGATTCTTGCGTAAAATTGAAACAGCAGATTGAAT